GCGAGTCATGATGCTCGACCCAGCGTGCACCAAGTCGCTCACATTCCGTGAGTTCGTCAACGGGCCGAACACACTCTCCAAGTCGACTGCGATCTCGGACTCCGACAACTGGACCGGTGCACCAGCCGCGGAGGACGATGGCTCCCTCGACGACATCCCTTCATCGACGGACGCCTTCACCGCCGCCGGCCCTGGGCCATCCAGCGCGGCCTCCGACGGCCTGCACGTGATCGAGCGGGTACAGAAACGGTGGCTGCCCAGCTCACACCCTAATCGATCTGCCTTAGGCACGGAGCCAACGGAGCCATCGCGCATGCCCGCATCGCGTGCGGCTCCGAGGTCTCCCGCCGAGACCGGCTCGGCGCGGCGCGTGGCCGCACGCCGCCGTTGAAAAGGCGAGATAGGACCGAGGGGAGAGCGCCGGCCACATCGAGCGAGCGCTGACGTGTAAGGTGTCTGTGCTGCTCCGGTGTGTGTGGGATTCTGCCTCCCCCCCATCTGTGCGGCGAGTTGTTTGCGGCGCGATGCCCGATCGTGCGCGATAGCCTCCCATTGTGCGTGGTGTGTCGGTGTGTCGGGGTCGTCCGGAGCGTGTGGCGGCGCCGTTGCCATCAGCGACTGCTCCACGTGCCACGACTGCTTTGACTGACGTGACTGACTGTGATGAGACATGAGAGCTGATGCGTGATGGATGATCTCCGACAACCCAAAACCAAAATGCAAATGCGGAGTGGCCCACTTTGGCGTGCAGATCCTGCGTCTCTCACTGCCCGAACAACAGAGACGGGTACCGCCGCAGGTCCCACACTAGTATAAAGAAGAAATTCACACCGCCCAGCCGGTGCTTCGCAGCCCGCGCTCCTAACACGGCGAGTGCGGTCCCCCTACTGTATGGCCGGTTCTTCTGGCGGCTCCGGCGGGGCTGGTGCCCCGCCCGCCAAGCTCGAGCAGCTGCCAGCCTTCAAAGAGGTTCGCGATGCCTCTGAGCGGCGGGCGCTCTTCCTCAAGAAGCTTCAGTTGTGCTCGTGGCCGATGGACTTCACGAACGGGCAGATCGACGCGCGCGATAAGGAGATAAAGCGACAGACCCTCCTGGAGCTCATGGATTATATCAACTCGACCAAGGGTGACCGCCGAGCCGCTCACTGATCGTGCCACCACCGGCAGCCGCACGCTTCACTCCGTCCCATGCGCACCAGGCGCCTTCTCCGAGCGCACCTACCCCGACGTCGTTCACATGATTGCAGCAAACCTCTTCCGCGGTGAGGCCGCCCCGCCCGCCCGCACAGACTCGGCTACGACGGCGGACCCATCACCGTCCCTGTCCCGAGCGCACCACCAGCCAGCCTCCACTGCTG